GAGAGACCGACTGTGTTACCATTTAACTGATCAGGCTTTGAGAGAAGCAGGAACTTTCCTCTGTCTGTCTGTCTCTGTCTCGCTCTGTCTGTGTCTGTGTCTGTGTCTCTGTCTCTCTGAAGAATGCGGCTCACATGCTCACAGGCTGTCAGGAAGCTGTGAAGATGGTCAACTAACCACTGTCACAGCTCGACATGGGCTCGGAGATTCCACCAGTCTGGGTTTGAATCTTCTCCAAACTTCCTGCCTGTGAACAGTTGGTTCTGACACTTTTATTTTAATTTTTTAATTTTTATTGTCTTTTTTGAGACAGGGTCTCTCTGTAGCCCCAGCTGGCCTGGAACTCATTATGTAGACCAGGCTGGCTTTGAACTCACAGAGAGATCCGCCTGCCTCTGCCTCCCAAGTGCTGGGATTAAAGGCGCACACCACCATGCCCGGTTTATTTTATTTTTAAAAAATACTTTTTATTATTTTTATGTGTAACGCCTGTATGTAGTTGGGTACACCCATGTCGTGTGTTGTACAATGCCCGTGGAGGTGAGAAGAGGTCATTGGATCCTCTGGAACTGAAGTTACAGATGGTTGTTAGCCACCACATGGATGCTGGAAATTGAACCCAGTTCCTCTGCAAGAGCAGCCAGAGCTCTTAACCACTGAGCCATCTCTCCAGCCCCCCGATTCTTTTTTAAATTTATTTATTTTATGTGTACTAGTGTTTTGCCTGCATGTATGTAAGTGCACCCATGTCATGCCATGCCCGTGGAGGTCAGAAGAGAGTGTCAGATCCCCTGGAACTGGAGTTACAGACAGTTGCTAGTCGCCATGTGGGTGCTGGGAACTGAACCTGGTCCTCTACAAGAGCAGTCAGTGCTCTTAACCACTGATCCAGCTCTCCAGCCCCTTCTGACACTTTTTTGTTTGTTTTTTTGACAGGGCCTCCCTAGTCCCAGCCCACCTGGATGTGGACCAGGGTGGCCTTGGTCTTGTAGAGATCCACCTGTCTCGGCCTCCTGAGGGCTGAGATTAAAGGTGCAAGACACTTTCAAACTCCGTTCCCTCTCCTAATAAGCACTCACATAGGAACAGTGTGAGGACTAAACATGACAATACGTATTCAGCACTGGATGGTATCTGACTCAGTGGAAGGCCAGTGAAGGGGGCTCTCTTGCCTCAGCCTCCCTTTTGACCTGGCCCATCTCCTAGCCACACCTCCCTGTGCCCTCTTACCTTTACTCTGCCCCCTCCAAACCCCAAAGCCCTTTAGCCTGTGTTACAGGTCACCTCGTCTCTGTGCAAGCTTCCTCCGTCCACCCCACTGTTCCTCTGCACGGACCTCCCACCCCCTCCAGGCCCAGACCTGAGCTCCCTGCTCCCTTCTCGTCACCCCTTCCAGCCCAGGGCAAAGTCTGGCTATCTCAAAGCCAACCACCTGCCCACTTCTCCGCCGCAGGCCTCTCTGTGCTGTGGGTCCATTCACCCCACAGCAGCCCCTCAGGACCAGCAGCAACGCACCTTCCTCCTCACTGTAACTTCAGAAGCACAGCATGGAGGTGCGTGAGGTCCCAGCACCCTGCACAGCACAGGCTGCTGCCCGGGGCACGCTGGGTGGAGAGTGGCCTGGCCTGGACCTCCTACTTGGGTTCCTTTGGGAGAGTGCCACGCCATGCCACCCACACTTGATTACCTGACCCATGTGTTATGTTGGACACCCTCTCTGTGATGTGAACTCAATAGATCCACCACTGCCCCAGTGACCAGCCTCCCAGAGGTGACCCTGGCCTACCCAGACGCTTGGCCAGTGTCTCTTTGCTCCTTAACACCTTTAGCTTCAGGATTTCACCGCCTGAGCCAAGAGGAAAGGTTAGTGGTGACCACGAGCTTGATGTGCTTCTAGATGCTGTCTGTGTGCACTGTGGTGCACCCTCTCCAACGTCCTTACGATAAAGCGTAACTTATCAGTTAGACAGAAAGTGATAAACAATAAAACAGAAAAATTATAACATAATGGAAGTTATTTAAGGGCCAGCAAGACGGCTTAGAGGGTAAAGCACTTGCTGCCAGGCCTGACAAGCCAAGTTCAATCCCTGGGACCCACATGGTGGAAGGAGAGAACCAGTTCCCACAAGTTGTCCTTCAACACACACACCAAGACATACGCACATAAATAAACAAACAAACAAATGAATGCATGCATGTAATGTTTAAAAAAATTAAAAGAAAGTTATTTACAACTGAATTGCTTATTTCTGGAATTTTCCATGCACTATTTTTGCACATAAATAAACAAACAAATAAATGCATGCATGTAATGTTTAAAAAAATTAAAAGAAGTTATTTACAACTGAATTGCTTATTTCTGGAATTTTCCATGCACTATTTTCAGACTACCCAACAACCAACACAGTAGGAAGGGAACCACTGGATAAGGGGGAACAGACAGGGTTTCAGTAACAACACAGAAAGCTGACCGCACCATCTAGGGCCCATATGTCGGCAGGACAGTGGAAGACTCAGAGTGGTGGACAGGAGGAGGGTGGACTGAGAGGACAGGATTGCGGCCAGGTGAGGAACGTGACTGTGTGGGTGGCTGGGAGCTGGCAGGAGGCCGAGAGAGACTGAACCTCCTCCTGCTGGCTGCTTTGGCCAAGGTCTGACGCTGCACGGAGGAATGTGAAGAGAGGTGCCTTGGGATGCTCAGACCCCTGCTGGGAAGAGTTCAGCCTCGTCCCACCCACCTGAGGATGCCTGTGTTCTTGGGACTACAGACTCCTTTCCCCTGCCATCTCCTCGCCCAGCCTCAGGCTGCCTCCTCCCATTTCACTCCCCGACCCCAACCCCTGTCCTTCCTTAGGTCCTAGCCATGGCCTGAGGTCTGGGGAGGGTTAGACTCCAGGAAGAGCAGCATCTCTCCAGCATCCCAGTCTGGGATGAAGCAGGCAGGGAGGGAGGGTGAGGGTGAAGGTCTGGCTTGGCTTCTCAAAGGGGGCACACAGCGGAGGGGCACCGCTGGCTGAGCCACTGCCCAGGGACTGTACCCAGGTCTCACTTAATTTACTCTTTCTGATAATGTCCTGTTGTGCTCTACAAAACTTTTGAAAGCCGGCACTGTTTAAAGTAGTTCAGTAGGTAGGGATGTAACTCGGTGGTACCACACACTTGTCTGCATGTGCAAGACCCTGCGTTAAAGCCTCAGGAACACACACACATACACACGCACGCACACACACACATGCACACATGCACACACGCACTTCTCATTTTACAGGTGACTAAAGTGAAGCTCAGAAAGGTTTGATGAGTTGCTCAAAGCCAGGGGATCACCTGGGACTTAAACCCGTCACCTGGTTCTAAAGGTGGGTTTTGTTTTATTGGCCCCATTCATTGCCCTCCTCTCCTGCGCCTGTCATTGGTCTCTGTACTCTCCCTGGATCCCTCTCCCTTCCAGCTCCTCTCCTGGTCCATCAGGAAGTCAAGGGTCACACTAGATGGTGGCCAGTAGCTGCACATGGCTATTCGCATTAAATTAAAATTAAAATTTCAGTGGGTTACACTAGTCCCCTTATAAGTGCTTATAGGCCATGTGGGAGGGCTGGGGTCTCAACAGTACCAGCATGGGCCATCCCCACCATGACAGGGGCCACAGCTCAGGGCATCACAAGGAAAAAGGGAGGGACCAACCTCAGGGCTGGAGGGATAGAGATGTTTTTGTGAGGAGATGGAAGTTCTGGAAAGGAGTTTGGGTGAGGGGAGGAGTTCCTCCCTCCAACACTGATACTCCCACAGTACCAGTTGGGGTCTCAACAGTACCAGCGTGGGCCATCCCCACCATGACAGGGGCCACAGCTCAGGGCATCGCAAGGAAAAAGGGAGGGACCAACCTCAGGGCTGGAGGGATAGAGATGTTTTTGTGAGGAGATGGAAGTTCTGGAAAGGAGTTTGGGTGAGGGGAGGAGTTCCTCCCTCCAACACTGATACTCCCACAGTACCAGAGAACAGCTGGCTGGGTGGGGCTAGGGCCACGGCAGGAGGGAGGGACATCAGCACAGGAGAAACCAGCACCCTCTCAGGTGGATCCCAAGGCTCTGGCCCTCTGTCCTTCAGGGACTCAGAAGCCAGCCTGGCCCTCCTTCATCCTACCCAGAGGCGAGCCTCTGTAGCCTTCTGTTTGCCCATCCAGGCCAAGAGGCAGCCTGGCCACCGCCTTCCCAATTAGCCTCATTGACCTCTTGCTCACCATCCTGAGTCTGGGTCACTACCATGGGGTAGGGACTGTGAGTGGCCTGTGAATCACTGAGGTCCAGCTATGACAGGGGTCCCCAGCCCAGGCCTCTCACCCAGGCCAAGCCCTGGCACCCAGTGCTCCCCCTCAGGCTGTTTCTGGAGCCCCAGAAGGGAGTCTGTGGATTTTCAGCATGTGGATGCCCAGTTTCTGAGAGGAAATGGGTTCTCTGGGTGACGGGACGCTTTAATAGGCCTGTGGCAGGCTGGTGCTCGGGCAGTGGCCCCGGGTATAGCTAAGAGTATAGGCAGATCTGAAGGAGGAAGGGGAGACCGAGTGATGGGATCCCAAGGAAAGTAGCAGACAGAGGCTGTGATGGGAGCCCCTGTGGGTTTGCACCAGGAGTCGGGGCTGAGCAGGGGCAGGGTACTTCCTGGGGCCCAGAGGGTAAACTAATGCCCACCCTGCCAGCCCAGTGGAGGGAGGCCGGGAGGATGGGAGTAGGGCAGGCCAGGGAGGGAGGAGCCCGTGACTGGGTCCCAGGGTGAGAGTGGCCGAGCACCTGGCTGCAGGTTAGGCAACAGGGAGTCTGGGGAGGCCAGGGGCAGGGGCTGGTGCCCTGTGGCCTCGGGTCCCCTGCCCTGCGGCCAGGCTGCTGCTGAGTAGGCAGATGTGACACCGATTGCTTCAACTCCTCCCGCCACACCAACTTCCCTCGGGCAGCCTCCCTCTCCGTCCCTCCTCCTCCACACAGTGACTCCTGCCCAGAGAATGTCCAGCCCTGGCATAAAGGCCCTGGTGTCCACGAGCTGCTGTCAGACAGGAGGCTGCACCGTGCATGATGGGCTCCACTCGGGCACCCGGGATGGGGTGTGTGGGAGGGCACGGGCTGATGGTGGTGCTGCTGGCTGGCCTCCTCCTTCCAGGTAGGAGCTGGGGCCCTGGGAGAGGGACAGTGTGGGGTGTAGCCCCTAGGTCTGAGAGGCAGGGGGATCCAGTGCCCGAAGGACAGGGTCCAGGAGAGGACCCAGCAAGGGGAAGAGACAGGGCACTGGAATCTGACTTTCAAGTCCAGGGGCTGTTCCCCACCTCTGCCTGGCCACCTCAGGCAATTCCTTTTTTCTTTGCTTCACACTGAGCCTTCCAGCCCTACTTAATGTTCTGAGCTTGTTTCTGAATCTCTAAAATGAGGTTAATAACACCTGGCTTTAGTTTGTGTCTCAAATTAAATAATGTGTGTGGCATGAACTGTGGAGGGTCTATAGGGCTGTGTGAATGCTGGTGGCTAGATGAAGATTTGGCTATTTCATAGCAATAATAATTGCTACCATTTTTGGCGTTCCTTTGAAAGACCTTTGAGATTTATTAAGACTTGCATTTATGTATTTACATATGTGTTTACATGCTGCTTCTGGGGATCAAACCCAGGGCCTTGCGCATGCTAAACAACTGATCTACTACATCCCCAGCCCTATTTGGTTTTTGGAACAGGGTCTTACTTCGTAGCCTAGCCTGGCTTCAAACTTGTGGCAGCCCTCTGGCCTCAGCCCCCTGAGCGCTAGAATGGCAGGCATGTACCACTATGCTCCGCTTAGAGCATTTTTTTAATGTGCCAGGCTGTTGTGAGCACTTTAAATATACAAGCAGTTCTGATCACAGTGAGAAGTGTGTGTTAGATTTGTTATTTCCATTCCACAGCTGAGAGGTCAGGAAACTGGTTTCAATTACAGTTAGAGGCCGGATAGTCGGGATTTTGAGCCCATGTGGAGTGGCTGGTGGCCTGTGCCACTAACCACTGCAGAAGGGGGAAGGGGTAGTGATGGGGCGGTTTGAAAGACCTTTGAGATTTATTAAGACTTGCATTTATGTATTTACATATGTGTTTACATGCTGCTTCTGGGGATCAAACCCAGGGCCTTGCGCATGCTAAACAACTGATCTCCTACATCCCCAGCCCTATTTGGTTTTTGGAACAGGGTCTCACTTCGTAGCCTAGCCTGGCTTCAAACTTGTGGCAGTCCTCTGGCCTCAGCCCCCTGAGCGCTAGGATGGCAGGCATGTACCACTATGCTCCGCTTAGAGCATTTTTTTAATGTGCCAGGCTGTTGTGAGCACTTTAAATATACAAGCAGTTCTGATCACAGTGAGAAGTGTGTGTTAGATTTGTTATTTCCATTCCACAGCTGAGAGGTCAGGAAACTGGTTTCAATTACAGTTAGAGGCCGGATAGTCGGGATTTTGAGCCCATGTGGAGTGGCTGGTGGCCTGTGCCACTAACCACTGCAGAAGGGTGAAGGGTTAGTGATGGGGCGGAGTTTGGCATGGGATGCACAGGAGGCTTTTCTCTTGAGGAGTGGAGGGGGTGTTTTAAGATGGTGGAGGTCTGGCTGCCAACAGGCTGTGTTAGCGTGTCAATATGATACATGATGCCTGATGGGTTTTTGGAAGCAGCGTCCAGAGATGATCTCGCATGGTGAGATCTGTGAGCAGGGCAGGGCAGACCACCTCTCTGAATATATAAATGAAAGCTCAGAAAGGGTTTGTCATCTGCTGGTGTGTGCCTGTGTCCAAGCCACTTGGGACCTGAAGGGGCTGTAGGACAGGTGAGGACCATGGGGGCAGGCTGGGGAAGAGGAGCAGAGGGTTAGGAGCAGATGGGTAAAGGGAGGAGGTGGGTTCCATCTGAGAGGCTGAGGCAGCAGGAGTCAGATGTGGGGCGATAAGGGGGTGGCAGGTGCCTATGAAGGCTGGGTCGGGAGAGAGAGAGGTTGATAAGGGCCACACACCTTGGAGGAGGGTTTCACGCTGTGTCCCTGGGCTGGGCCAGCAAGAGCAAAGGTGGCTCAGGGTGCGGTGTCCTGTCGCACTGGTACCGGCAGATTCTGAAGCAACAGCTGAATGCCCCCACATCCTAGCTCCCACCCATCTTTACTGGTATGGCCGGTGCTGAGACAGGAAGCAGGTTTTCCATTCCTCACGTAGTCTGGACACCCAGGGAGCTGGTGATGGAATGTTGGCCACGTTTCCTCCTCTTGGCCACCAGCTTTCTTTTTTCATGCGTCCTTCTTTCCTGTCTCAGCTCTCTCCATTTTTTTTTTATAGTACTGGGGGTTGAACCCAGGACCTTGCGTACACCAGGCAGGTGTTCTGCCTCTGCGCTACATCCCCAGTGTTGCTTGACCTTCTGTTTGGTCCCATGTCTGACCCAGGATTCTCCCTGCGATTTCTCTACCTGGCAGTTTCAACCTCCCCACCCTGTCTTCCCCTAGACCTGCTTGTTTCTGACCTGTCTGTCCTCCTGCAGCACATTCCTTGGGTTTCTCCCACTTTGGAGTGTCTCAGTCCGTTTTTCTTGTAAATGTTATTCCCAACTCAACCCCAACTGCCGGAACAAGGACCTTGCCTTGGTTAGTTTCCTTTACAGGGAACAGACAGCTCTTCCCCTAACTTTCCCAAGTTCCCATAGGGAGACACCAGCGGTGCTGACGGGTGAGGATGGCAGCTCCTCTCTGATCCTCACTGACCACTGCTTTCCTCCCCAGGGACCTCGGCTAAGAGCATCGGAACCTTCTCAGATCCCTGTAAGGACCCCACAAGGATCACCTCCCCTAATGACCCCTGTCTCATTGGAAAGACTGGCTCCAGCAGCTTCAGCAGCCAAGGCAGCTCCAGCAGCTCCATTTCCAGTGGCTCCATTTCCAGTAGCTCCAGTGGCTCCAGTGGCTCCCAGGGCAGTTCTTCAGGATATTCAGTATTTAAGCCAGGAACAGGGTATTCCCAGATCAGCTACTCCTCTCAGACAGGAAGCAGTGGCTCTCAGACAGGAAGCAGCAGCTCTCGGTGGGTCAGCAGCAGCTCCCACTCAGGAAGCAGCAGCCGCGGCCGGGGCTCTGGGAATGGCTCTGCTCTACCAGTCGATGACAACTCTTCCCGCCAGACATCAGGTTCCTCCCAGTCTGGAGGCTCTGGGATGTCCAGCAGCAGCTCCAGTCTGCACCCCTGTAGCTCCAACGTGCCTGACTCTCCCTGCAGTGGGGGCCCGGTCATTACACACAATGGCCCCTACATCACCAGCTCACACTCTGTGTCAGGGGGGCAGAGGCCTGTCGTGGTGGTGGTGGAGCAGCATGGCTCTGGGGGTCCTGGAGTGGTTCAGGGTATGCCCTGTAGCAATGGCGGCCCTTCAGGCAAGCCCTGCCCGCCCATCACCTCTGTACAGCAATCCTACGGCGGCTATGAGGTGGTGGGTGGCTCTGCTAACAGTTATCTGGTCCCAGGCATGACCTACAGTGGGGGTAAAATCTACCCTGTGGGCTACTTCACCAAAGATAACCCCGTCAAGGGTTCGCCAGGGGTCCCCTCCTTTGCAGCTGGGCCCCCAGTCTCTGAGGGCAAGTACTTCTCCAGCAACCCCATCATCCCCAGCTACAGCTCTTCCGGTTCCAATGTCTACCCGTCGGGAGCTTCCACCGGCATTGTGTTCCAGCCCGTGGGCACCGGTGGGGTCCAGCTCTGTGGCGGTGGCTCCACAGGCTCTAAGGGACCCTGCTCTGTTTCCGGTTCAAGAATTCAAATCGCTTCTAGCAGCTCCAGCTCCTCCTACCACCCCTGCGGCGGTGTTTCCCAGGGGCCCTGCTCCCCACCAGGCACCGGCCCCATCCGCGGAGGCTCCTCCTCCCTCTCCACTGGCAAAATCATCCTTCAGCCCTGCGGCAGCAAGTCCAGCTCTTCCGGCCACCCCTGCATCTCTGTTTCCTCCGCCACACTGAGTGGGGGTCCCGATGGCTCTCCTCAGCCTGACCCCTCTGCAGGGGCCAAGCCCTGTGGCCCCAACAGCCCTGGGAGGGTGCCGTGCCGCTCCATTAGGGACATCCTGGCCCAGGTGAAGCCTCTGGGGCCCCAGTTGGCTGATCCTGAAGTTTTCCTGCCACAAGGAGAGCCACTTGACAAGGCATAAGTCAGTTTTCATAGCTGCATGCCTGGACACACACACACACACACACACACACACACACACACACACCCAGGAGGGAGACAGCCAAGGGCACAGCTCAGGTTCCTGCCTCTCCCAGGACAGGGGCTCCACCTGCTAGGTCATCACCTTCATTCAGCACCCCCAAATGGTGGGCTCCAATTCCTTTGATCCCACTCCAGTGGTGGACTCCAGTTCCTTTGATCCCACTCCAATGGTGGACTCCAATTCCTTTGATCCAGTTCCACCGTGCCGCCCTCTCTGCTAGATCACCACCCCTTAAAACTGTCTTTGCCATTGACCGAGCTCCCCTATTCAAATTTTTGACCAGAAGCTTCGAAAACACTCTTTGACCAACCTCCGGATGCTTGGACGAGCAAGAGAGGCCCACCTCTCCCCATTTGCCAAATAAAGTCCAAACCGTTGCTGGAGGCTGACCCAGCTCTAACCTCTCTTCACCACCTTGTTCAACCATCCCTCTAAACCCCGGGGTCCCTGCTGTCCGTTACCATACCCTCCCAGATCCGTTTTCTTCGCACCCCTACCCTGCCTCCTGAACTCTCCATGTCAGCCCCCTCCCTGATTGCTGCTTCCCACAGAGCTGAGATGCTGCCCGAGCTGTGTGGACCCCAGGCCTCCGCAGAGCCTGACACAGACTCCCCGCCCTCTCTGGATCTGGACATGTGAATTCCATGCAGACTTTTCCTTCTTGGAGTTCTCCTGGGCAGTACTCCCCTACGCCACTAGAGGGCCCATGTCCCCCGTGTTCATCCACAGATGGCTCAGTGTTTCCCTCAAACTTAACACCTCTTCCTACCAAGAAGAAAAACAATAAACAATTGTTGAACTGACAGCAGAGTCCTGGTTTCTGGATCCTTCCTCCCACGTCTCTCTGGCTGCTCCACCGAAAATCTGTTCTCTCTGGAGCTGTCCCCTCATCAAAAGCCCTCATTGTCTCCTTCCCTCCGCCCTGTCTCTTCCTCTGCGTTCCTCACCTTCTGGGTATCCTCCTCTCTGGGAGTCTCCAGGCTTGATTCCTTGAGTTTCGGGGACAGCTGGGACCTTGGGAAGGCCAGGACACAACAACCCAGGCAAGATTCCTGGAGCCTGAGTAGGAAGGAGTCCGGTTCTGGGAGCCGGAGGCGGATCCGGATGTGGCAGAGTGCACAGAGCCTGGTGACTCACTGGCCTACTTAACAAGGCCTCACGGTAGACAGAGCCCACAGTGTCCTCTCCACCTCCTCACCCTGGAGCCTGCTGTGGTGACAGTGAGAGCAGCCCAGGGAGGACAGACTGGGGTGTAAAGCCCTCATTGTCTCCTTCCCTCCGCCCTGTCTCTTCCTCTGTGTTCCTCACCTTCTGGGTATCGTCCTCTCTGGCAGTCTCCAGGCTTGATTCCTTGAGTTTCGGGGACAGCTGGGACCTTGGGAAGGCCAGGACACAACAACCCAGGCAAGATTCCTGGAGCCTGAGTAGGAAGGAGTCCGGTTCTGGGAGCCGGAGGCGGATCCGGATGTGGCAGAGTGCACAGAGCCTGGTGACTCACTGGCCTACTTAACAAGGCCTCACGGTAGACAGAGCCCACAGTGTCCTCTCCACCTCCTCACCCTGGAGCCTGCTGTGGTGACAGTGAGAGCAGCCCAGGGAGGACAGACTGGGGTGTGTGTGCCCAGGAAGGTCCTTATGTCAAGCCCAGGCCTCTTAAAGCCTCTGCAGAGGGGCTCACATCCAGGGAAGGGGGAAGTGGGTACCAAGTTCACAGTCGCTGCAGTTCCAAGTTCAGATGCAGCAGCACCGCATTGACTAGAAATGACCTGCAGAGCTGAGCCAGCCTTCAGGGCTGATTGGGACGACCGCTCCCAGGCAGTCCTGTTTCTGTCATAGCTTAGAGTCACGGTTGCCTCATCGGGCCAGTGGCGGGCATCAAAGCCCTCAGAGGCTCTGTGGATGGGAACTTCAGGGAGGAGCCAGCTTCCATATGGGGATACCTCCAGTCTCCTGCATGGTACAGGCTGAGAGCTTGGACAGAGTTGTGGGTGTCACCCCAAAATGGGGGACCAAGCACTAAGCTCCATTACTGGCCAATTTTAGAAAGAAGCTTGTTATTCTTAGTAGTTAGTGGGACAGGGCCAGGGGTGAGGATAGAGAAAACAGTTACCAATATCTCTCTTCAGACAGCCAAAGAAACCTGAGAGCTTTCTAGAAGAAATGGAGGAACAAAAGCAGTTCAGGGCTGGAGAGATGGCTCATTGGGTAAAGGCACTACCTAAGTTCCAGCCACAAAGTTGCCCTCTGACCTCCACAAGTGTGTTGTGGCACCTGCATTCATACACACATCATACAGGGAACTTCAGGGAGGAGCCAGCTTCCATATGGGGATACCTCCAGTCTCCTGCATGGTACAGGCTGAGAGCTTGGACAGAGTTGTGGGTGTCACCCCAAAATGGGGGACCAAGCACCAAGCTCCATTACTGGCCAATTTTAGAAAGAAGCTTGTTATTCTTAGTAGTTAGTGGGACAGGGCCAGGGGTGAGGATAGAGAAAACAGTTACCAATATCTCTCTTCAGACAGCCAAAGAAACCTGAGAGCTTTCTAGAAGAAATGGAGGAGAGCTTGGACAGAGTTGTGGGTGTCACCCCAAAATGGGGGACCAAGCACCAAGCTCCATTACTGGCCAATTTTAGAAAGAAGCTTGTTATTCTTAGTAGTTAGTGGGACAGGGCCAGGGGTGAGGATAGAGAAAACAGTTACCAATATCTCTCTTCAGACAGCCAAAGAAACCTGAGAGCTTTCTAGAAGAAATGGAGGAACAAAAGCAGTTCAGGGCTGGAGAGATGGCTCATTGGGTAAAGGCACTACCTAAGTTCCAGCCACAAAGTTGCCCTCTGACCTCCACAAGTGTGTTGTGGCACCTGCATTCATACACACATCATACATCCACACTTTAATAGTAATAACAATATGAATAATGATAAGGGGCTGGAGAAATACCAGGTCTTGGAGAAGACCTGATTTTGGTTCTCAGCACCCATCTCAAGTAGATCACAACTGCCTGTTAACCCCAGTTCCAGGGGATCTGATGCCCTCTTCTGGCCTCTGTGGGCACCTGTGCCCATGTGGCATGCACTTTACACACATAAATGAAAATAAATAAAAATTCTTAACAATAAATTTAAAAATTGAAATTCAAAAAGTTTTAAAGAAGGTAATTAGGTCCTTTTTATTAGCTGAGCCCAGTGGCATAGGCCTGTGGTCCCAGCTATACAGGAGGCTGAAGCAGGAAGATGACAACCTCGAGGCCAGCCTGGGCTGCAGAGTAAGTTCAAGGCTCTACTGGACTGCTTAAAATAAAAAGTGGAAAGAGGGATGGTGGGCCTAGAGAGATGGCCTAGTGGTTAAGAAGAACACTGACTGCTCTTGCAGAGGACCTGGGTTCAGTTCCTAGCACTCAACATGGTGGCTAACAACTGTCCGTAACTCCTCCTCCTCCTCCTCCTCCTCCTCCTCCTCCTCCCCCCCTCAGAGTTTTGAAAGTTCAAGACACAGTACCAGAATCTGCCCAGCTCTGAGCATCATGGAGGAGTTGCTTGGGAGAGGAAGAAGTCATGGCAAGACAAGATGCTGGAGTTCAGGTTCTGTCTGTCGGTCTATCTGTCTGTCTGTCTATCATCCATTTATCTATCTACCTACCTACTTACCTATCTATCCGTTCATTAATTCACTTATTTTTCCAGTGCAGGGCATTGAACTTGTATGCTGGGCAAGCACTTTACTGCTGAGCTATATCTTTAAAAGAACTTTAAAAATTATTTTATTTTATTTATTTATTTTTTGTCTTTTTGAGACAGGGTCTCCTTGTAGTCAGTCCCAGCTGATGTGAACTCACTATGTAGACCAGGCTGGCCTTGAACTCACAAGGATCCATCTGCCTCTGTCTCCCAAGTGCTGGGATTAAAGGCATGCGCCACTACGCCCGGCTAAAAATTATTTTATTTTTAAAATATTTTATCTTAATGCAAATGAATGTGTGTTGTGTGTGTGTGTGTGTGTGTGCACGCGCGCGCGCATAAGTGCAAGTGCCTGAGGCCAGAATTGTTGGATTCCCCTTGGAGTTGGCATTATAGGAGGTTGCAAACCACCTGATGTGAGAGCTGGGAACTTCACTTGGGTCCTCTGCAAGAGCAGTATGTGCTCTTAACCACTGAGCCAGCTCTCCAGGCCCTATTTTCATGTATTTATTTATTTACATTTATTATTTTATGTGTATGAGTATATTGCCTGCATATATGTAAATGCACCGTGCTCTGCAGTGCCCATGGAGGTCAGAGAGGGCATCACATTTCCCTGGAACTGGAGTTAGGAGTGGTTGTTAGCCACCATGTGGATGCTGGGAATTGAACCCGGGTCCTCTGCAAGAGCAGCCAGTGCTCTTAACTGCTGAGCCACCTCTCCAGTTCCCTTATTTTTACTTTTAATTATGTGTATCTGTGTCTGTGTGGGTACATGTTTGTGACTGCAGCTGCATTTAGAGTCCGGAAGAGGAAGTCAGATCCCTTAGAGCCAGAGGTTGTGAGCTGCCCAAGGTGGGTCTAGGAATTGAACTCTGGTGCTCCTCAAGAGCGGCAAGTGCTTTTAACCAATGGGCCATCTCTACTGGCCCCCTTTTTTAAACTTTTTGAGACAGGGTCTAAGTTGCCCAGGTTGGCCTTGAATTCATTCTATAGCCTGAGTTAGCCTTGAATTTGTGACCCTCCTACCTCAACTTCCCAATAAATAAAATTATAGGCCTGAGGCCATCAGACCCAGTTAGCTCACTCTCTTAATAGCAACCCATTCTCAGCATGCTGATTTGCTCCAAGAGATCTCCATTAATCCCCCCAATGACTTACCTACCTCCCACTAGACCCCATCTGTTAAAGGTTGTACCACCTCTCAGTATCCCCACATGGGGGACTAGTGGGGCACACTATATGCAAACCATAACATTCATATTTAAAATGAGACACATCATTAATGAGCTCCATCACCCCACTGCAGCAAAGACAAAACCATGGCTGTTTGATGGCAACATTTATTTATTTATTTTTATTTTTATTTTTTTTATTTTATGCATATGCGTATATTGCCTGCATGTAGGTAAGTGTGCCTGTGTCTTGCAATGTCCACGGAGGTCAGAAGAGGCTGTCAGATCCCCTGAGACTGGATTTAGGACAGTTGTTAGCTGCCATTTGGGTGCTGGGATTTGAACCCGGGTCTTGCGTAAGAACAACCAGTGTTCTTAACCACTGAGCCATCTCTCCAGCCCCTGATGGCAGTATTTAAATGTCCTTCTCAATAAATAAAGCCGGGTGTGGTGGTGTATGCCTGTAGTCCCAGCACTTGGGAGGCAGAGGCAGGTGGATCTCTGTGAGTTCAAGGCCAGCCTGGTCTACATAGTGAGTTCCAGGCCAGTTGGGGCTGCAGGGAGACCCTGTCTCAAAAAGACCAAAAATTAAATAAATAAATAAATAAATTTAGCCGGGTGTGGTGGCGCATGCCTGTAGTCCCAGCACTTGGGAGGCAGAGGCAGGCAGATCTCTGAGAGTTCAAGGCCAGCCTGGTC